ACATCTGGGTAGGATGGTGGGAGCGGCATGGCGACCAGGTCTGTGAAGGTCTTCGCGAAAGCTGTCTCGGCGACCATTCTGCGATAATTGTCTCTGATGTGGGTCGGGCCCTTCTTTGGATATTGAAGCTCGCCCCTCCTTTCAATTGCACAGGGGCCCTCTGCTGCAGCAGGCGCGCCTCGGAGAGTGGCGAGAACATGCGAGGGCAGCCCTCGCCCGCTGCTCTGACCGCGCTGTGGCGGAGGGCGCCCAGCCCGACGGCGCGTCGGCCAGGCAGGTGGGCGCTGACGTCGGCGACATGGTCTGGAGGAGTACCAGGGGAAGTGTGCCATCGAGCGGCGGAGCAGGCGCCCCGCCGACCAAATCACCGGCATTGCACTGCGGTGCGGACTTGAGTTGGCCAACGGCCGTGACCTGCCCTCGGTGCAAGCCGTCCCAGTATGCGCGATCCAGTCGGCGGCGATGCCGTCTGGGTCGAAGGGCAGCGTGCCGTTCTCGGTGGTCAAGGATGAATGGCCTTTGGGCCTCTGGCCCTGACGCAGCTGTTTGGCGATGCGGTGCAGCGTGGGCGTGTCGCCGCGGTCGGCAGCGGCGGCGGCCTCGTAGGCAAGAGCCGTGGTCCAGGCATCGCGGTGTCTTCCGCGGTGCAGGAATGGGCTTTTGCATGTATCGCTATAGGTCCCTATAGGCAGTGCGCCCCGTGCCATTCCGCGACGCTGAGTTCGGATGCGGCCCTGCCTGCAGGCTTGGGCCAGGCCCGGAAGAAAACTTGCAGGGTTGCCCTCTTCTTGGTTCTGGCGGCCTGAAGGTAGGCCGTGCGAACTTTGGGCGTAGTCTGGGTCAGGGCCCAGGTGCCCTGCGAGAGCCGCGGCCTGCGCGGTTGCTTGGGCGCCAGCGTTGCGAAGTAGGACTGTTGCAGCTCGTAGAGCTTCTTCGAGATGAACTCGAGGTACAGGTCAGTGGACCTCCACTCGGATGCCTGGACCGCGTCGGTCAGGTAGGAGACGGCCCCCGCAACGCGGCCGCGCAATCAGGGCCTCCCAAACGGAATGGATAGAAATTCATTCTGGGTGGTCGCTTATCTGACCCTGGTGCAGGGCAGAAGCGTATCGTGAGTCTGGCGGTAACCATGCGGTGGTCCGCGCTCTCGACCGACCGTGGAGATGTTCTCGTCAGTGCGCCTTGCCGGACCCAGCTTGGTGCCAGACCTCACCGAAGGTGATGAGTCGGTCAAGTCGCCTGTGCGAGCCCTGGCAGCTTCGCCAAGGGGGGGTGAGATTTCCGTGGTGCTGCGCCACGTCGTCGCCGGAGAAGTCTTCCTGCGCGAATAATTGGTTGGACCCCGAGGCGGTGTCCTTGTCGTCAGCGTTCGAGTCGATTCCGAGGACGATGAAACGTCGGTGTGGGAGGCTCTGGAGGGTGTCCCGGAGGAGCTTCCAGAATGCGAACTTCTCATTTTCTGGAGCCGCGCTGGTGGGGGCGTGGGCCGAGGTGGCATAGAAGAAGGTGTCGCTCAGGGCCGCGCGAGTGAGGATGATGCCGGGGCCTATCACCTTGATGGTGATGTCCTGAAAAAACGGCATGACGGAACCAAATATGTGGTCTGTAGTTCCCGTCTTTGTCGCCGGCCGCCGCGTGGCGGAGGTAGTGAGCGCCCGTCGATGTGCCATCGTGGGGCAGGCGCCTGGGCGAAAATGATGTCGAGCCTGTGGCGGTGAAAGGGACCCTCCAGATAGTTGATGCGGGTGGCGCAGTCGATGCCAGTCTTTGCATTCTTCCTGTACTCTGCTGGGCTGAGCGTGGTGGCGTTGGCCGAAGCAAGGTCTAGCCATCTCTGCCCACAGCCAGCGGCCTGCTTTCCGTTAGGCTTGCGAGGCGCCTTCTGGGCAGGCGCGGGGTGCTCACCCCCAGCGGGTCGAGGAGGCCTCTCGTGTGAAAGAGTTTGGTCGGCTAGGCCCCCCCGTTGGTAGCTCTTGCTAGAGGTGCTGTCGAACCGGGCCCCCCCAGCTGTGGCGTTGGGGGCGCGTGCGGTGCGATCTCGGGGACGCCCTGCTTGGACTGTTGGGGCCGGCGGCCGGTGACGGGCGTGAGCGAGGCGCTCCCTTCCGCCGGGGCGTCCTGGTTCTGCTGCGCGTGCTCGTCCGTGAGGTCCGTCTCCATGTCCTCGGGGTCCCCCGCGGAGATCTCCTTTGCTGCCCTCTTGGTCTGGTCTGTCATCCTTGGGCCTGCGTCGAGGGCCGCACCCCAAATCTCCTTCCCCGCTTCCGCCCCGAAGCCAGCTTTGGAACTGCTCCCGAGAGTAGAGCCATCCGTCTGGGCCCTGGCGGCGCTCGCACCAGTGGTGCGGGATCTGGGCGCTGTGGGCAGTCCCGCCTCGTGGCGGATCTTCGCCTGAACATCGGCCAAAGACTGGCGGTGGCGCGCAAGCTTGGGCGTCCCGGGCTGCTTGTGCACGGCGTTCCGTTCGAGTGATTGCCCCTGTGATGCCGGCGAGCTGCTCGTCGAGGGTCCGGGTGTCGACCATCGTCTCGCGGATCGCATTGATGTCCGCATCGATGAAGCCCAGGGCTGCATTTGATGCCCCAGCCTGCTGCAACGATGCCCGCAGCTGCTGGAGGCGACTGAGCCTCGCCTTCTCCGTGAGGGGCACGTCCTGGACTGAGCTCTGGTCCATGGTCTTGTGTTTGATCTTCTTGGAGCCGTCCTTGCCCTTTGCGGCGTTCATCGGCGGATGTGACGTGGATTTCAACGTTGACGAAGCTGGCGCTGCTGGACCGGCTGCCGCCCCCGCCTTCGCTATTACAACAGCGGGAGCCGGCCAACGAATTGCTGCACAGGTGCGGCACGCGTTCTTGCAAGGCCAATTGAAGGTGTGGCAGCTCTTGCACTGCCAATTCGCCTCCGTGCTGCCCTGCGGCACTCCCGCAGCTGCCATGGCGTTCCCCGGCACTGAGTGCGAAGTGAGTGGACGCGACCCATCCGCAAAAGAGAAGCTGCTTTAGGATCGATGGGAGCCTGCCCCGCTGAGGCAGTGACTGAATCACCATTTTGGCCTTGAGCCAAAATGGCTACGGTGATGATGATGATGATGATGATGATGATGATGATGATGATGGTGGTGGTGGTGGTGGTGGTGGTGGTGGTGATGATGATGATGATGATGACGATGCTGATGCTGATGCTGATGCTGATGATGACGATGTTGCTGCTGTGGATGATGATGCTGATGCTGATGCTGATGCTGATGCTGATGCTGATGCTGAGGATGCTGATGCTGATGCTGATGCTGATGCTGCTGCTGCTGCTCATGATGATGATGATGATGATGATGATGATGATGATGATGATGATGATGATGATGATGATGATGATGATGATGATGATGATGATGATGATGATGATGCTGATGCTGATGCTGATGCTGATGCTGATTATGATGATGGTGATGGGGGTTGTGGTGGTGGTGGTGGTCGTCGTGGTGGTGGTGGTGATGATGGTGGTGGTGATTCTTATTGTAGTTGCGGTGGTGGTGGTGGTGGTGATGACGATGATGATGATGATGATGATGATGATGATGATGATGATGATGATGATGATGATGATGAGGAGGAGGAGGAGGAGGAGGAGGGAGGAGGCGGAGGAGGAGGAGGGGAGGAGGAGGAGAGAGGAGGAGGAGAGAGGGAGGAGGAGAGGAGGAGGAGGGGGAGGAGGAGGAGGAGGAGGAGGAGGAGGCGGGGAGGGGAGGAGGAGAGGGGAGGAGGAGGAGGAGGATGAGGAGGAGGCGGAGGACGAGGAGGAGGAGGAGCTGGAGGAGGAAAGGAGGATAATGAAGAAGGAGGAGGAGGAGGAGGAGGAGGAGGGTGAGGAGGAGGAGGAGGAGGAGGACAAGGAAGAGCAGCAGCAGCAGGCACTGGAGTGGAAGGAGCGGGATGAACAAGAGAACCAAAGGAAGGTGGAGAAGGGGAAAGGTCGAGGGCGACAGCGATGAGGACGGGCTCTGATCCAGAAAAGTGAAGGGGCGAGAGCGCCCTTCAGAAAGACGGGAGCAGCGCTCCGATCCTAAGTTGAGGCCCGCGCTGCAGCGGGAACACCATTTTGGAAGAACTGCGACCGTTTGGATGGGACAACGTTGGAAGCACACAGCTCGGCACCCTCCCGTGTGCATGAGACCATTCGCGGGGGGGTGGGGGGGGGCGCGCGACTCCCCGGGCCATTTTCGGGGGAGGCAGGGAATTAGTGCTCATATTGAGCGTTCGGGATTCCACACTGAGCCTTCGGTATCAGCGTCTGCGAGAAAAGCGAGTACAGCTAAGCCCTCGGAGGATGAGGTTTCTGAGGGTGGAGTTTCTGAGGGTGTGCTTTCCCAGGGTTTCGTTTGGCCTGGGCTTCAACGATCGTTCTGAGGATGGAGGTTCTGATAGTGGAGTTTCTGTAGGCCTTCGTGGGGCTTGAGCTCCTACCATCTTTTCGAGGATGGAGCTTCTGAGGGTGTAGTTTCTGCGGGTTTCGTGGGGCCTGAGCTTCAACGGTCTTTCTGAGGATGGAGCTGCTGAGGATGGAGTTTCTGAGGGCCCGCGCGCGGCCTGAGCTTCAACAGTCTTTCTCAGCATGGAGTTTTCAGGGAAACGTTTCGGAGGGCCACGTCTCTAAGCCGAGATTTTCCATGAGAGCGCCTCATGAGGCATAGTGATTACATAGTAGGCGTCGCCGTCGTAGTCGCAGTCGTAGTCTTAGCTGTCGGCGTCGTTGTTGCGCCGCGGGTTCCGCGGGGGAGCAATACTCATCTTCTTCTAGTGGTGGGACTCCAATCCGTGAATACGGCCGCCGCGCAAATAACCAACTACACCTAATGGGTGGGGGTTCTCGAAAGACCCTTCCCGGTCAGTTGTGCATCCCGCTGAGCCCCCGTGGGGAGGCCAGGGGCGCGAGGGCCCGCCGAGACCTCCGGCCAGAGAACGTCGCTGCCGGCGAGGCGCTCCCCTCGCGGTGCCCCCTGGGGCGGTCGGCGCTCGGCAGCCGGCGCCCAGGCCTCAGAGGATGGGTGGCCACACGTGAGCCCCCCCCCCCCACCCCCCCCACGATTTTCTGAGAGGCGTGGGGTACTCCGAATTTCTTAAGAAGCGTCGGGGGGGGCGTCACCCCCGCCGACAGCCCCACGTGGACCCCCGTCGCGGGCAGCCACCGCGCGCCGAAGGCGCTCCGACCCCCGTCGCGGCGCGACGACGAGGCGAGGTTGACCCCCGTCGGGGGGGTACCCCCCCACGCTTATTAAGAAACACAGGGTACGGTCCACATGTGGCCACTTAGAGAAAGAGGAGGCACGGGAGGAGGGAAGGTGCAGGGGGAGGCTGAAGGCTGGGGTGGTCGGCGCTCTGCAACCGACGCCCAGACTTCAGAGGAGGAGCAGGTACCATGGCATCGCTCTGACGTGTGCAGTTGTCCTCGACGAGGGCCATCGAGGAACATATTGGATCACCTTGCGGAAAGAACAGGAACGCGCCTAATCGAAGCATGCACGGGGAATGACGTCCAAGCGATGGCGAGGTACGGTGGGTCCGCGTCGTGTCGACCGGCGTCGACCCCGCCGCCGACACTCGACGTTGAACGCCGCCAGCAACCCAGACTCGGTCGATGTTCAACGATCTGACGCTTCTGGAACGGCCGATCTTTCAGGGCTCAACGGTTCCGCTCGGGGGTCTCCTGACCCAGGTCGATCCAGACCCAGGTCAGTCAGTCCTTACAGAATCCTGCAAGATCCTGCAAGATCTTGCACCCGAACACCCGGGTCAACGCGAAGGATCCCGCAAGATCCGCGGTGTCAGGAACCAACGCCGAGGTCGGCACGACACGAGCCTGCCGTACCGATGCCGCTGCCCGTGCCTCGTTTTCGCCTTTTTGGGCTTCTTGGGAGGTCCTCGCCGCCACGGCCTGATCCTCGAAATTCTGCCCCGAGCGCACCCCGCGAGAGGTCGGGGGAGTAGCGGCATCGGCACCTATCTGTTTCGCCCAAACCAGCACGCAACATTTGCCCAGCCAGCGAAGTTCTCACATGCCAGTGGCAACTCCATCGCGACGAGAACGGGGAGATCGGACGGGGCTAGGACGAGGATGAATTCGTTCCGGAGCGTTCTGGTACGCTCTCAGAGCGTTCTGGAGCGCTCTGAGAAGGCCACGGCGCCCGCCACATCCTCCAGAGCAGCCAGATCTCAGAGACTCGATCTATCCTCACCCGAATTTTGCTCTCGTCCTGGCTTCGTCTTGCGGCCACGTGCGGAGAGGCGTAGGGGTAAGGGGGAAGGCTTTCAGAAGCACCCCCGCTTCTTAGAAGGCGCGGGCCTTGCCTGTAGTGGTAAGGCTGGCGCCTTCTAAGAGGCAGCCTCCTTCTGAGAAGCCTTCCCCGCTCCCCCTGCCCCCCTTTCGCCGCAGCCAAAGGAGGGCGAGGAGGAGGTGGTGCCCCCGAGGACGCTGAAGGCGGGGGAGATCGACGCGCTGCTCGAGAGCAAGGACAACCCCGACGCCTGGCGGACCATCAAGGAACCCCGCTCGGCGGGCGGCCCCTGTGGCCGCTCGGGGCCCGGGTCGGGAGCGGCCGAGAGGGGGGGGGGGATGGCTGCACGCCGTTCGTTGAAGGTAGGTATTCTTGGATGCCCGAGCCCTGCTCTGCTGCAGGCGCCTTCCTGCCTCCAGAGTCGAGCGGTCGTCCCTCGTCCCTCCCCTTCGGGGGCCAGGCGGAAGCCCAGTCTGCTTCCAACGCCTTCCTACCTCATGCTGCTGCCCACTTCTTCCGACCGACGGGGCACACTCGGGGGGACGGATCTTATGGCCAGGGCCATGACCCCTCCCCAGATTTCATGGCGCCTCGTCTTGTCTCAATGCGTCCCCTGGCCCCCCCCTGGGCCGCGTACATGCTTCGTCCTCCTATCGGGCGCCTCTCGGGAGGAGGAGGAGGAGGAGGAGGAGGAGGAGGAGGAGG